ATGGGGAGAAGGGATCTCCTCGTCTGAGTCCCCTCTCTGGGGTGAAGGAATTTGAGAGTTGGTCGTTGATCCTGACTTGGAACGACACCGTGCAAATTCATTTCTTAATTATTGCAACGAAAGGTTCATTAAATCCTAATTGTTCCATAATCACAAACAAAAAGTTCCATTTAATCTTATCATAAGCTTTCTCTATGTCTAATTTGATAGCGACCCCTTTATAAGGATCGTTTTTAGAGCCTTTAAGATAGTAGATAAGCACATGATCAACAAGAAAGTTATCAGAGATTCTTCGTCCTGAAACGAATGCACATTGATTGATCGCAATACATTTAGACATAAAGGGCTTAAGACGATTGATTATCACTTTAGACAATATCTTATAGACAATCGTGCAAAGACTAATAGGCCTAAAGTGTTGGTTCTTGGATAAAGATTTTTGGAATAAGGACCATGACGGTTTTGTTGACCGTTTCGAAATCAGTGAGGCCATTTAACAAGTCAAGGTAGAGTGAAATAAGATCAGGGCCAAAAACATACCAAAAAGGGCAATAAAATGAACTAGAAAGACCAACAATACTTGGAGCTTTAGTTGGGTTCATTTGAGAGAAGGAAAGGAGAACTTCCTCTGTAGTTAACTCCCGTAGAAGGATTGCATTGTCTTCCGTTGAAACACATCTCCCCATGGTGTTGATGATTATGCTAGGCGATTCCACCCTTGAAGAGTTGAAGAGCGAGGTAAAGTACTCAGTGGCAACATTGAAGACTTCGTCCTGATGTTCCACCCATCAGATTTCGTTATCTTCCAACCCCTCAATTCTATTCTTTTTCCTCCTACCATTAGCCCGGTGTGAAAAAAGTAAGTATTCCTATCTCCATCCTTGAGCCAAGCAACTCTTGATCTTTGCATCCAGTAAGTCTCGTCTTTGTCAATTAAGTCTTTCAGTTTTTTTTTTTGGCTTTTAGAAGCCTCTCAACTGAGTGGTCTATGATCCGTTCATTCTCCAGAGCTTTGATGAGCGATCGGAGCTTTCTTTCCTCTTTTTTTGCCTTTGTTCAACGCTCTTTCTGCCACGGGTCCAATCTCTGACCAATTGCCATAATTTTGTTAGTTGTTGTCCCTATCGTATCATTCCAGGTGTCGCCCACTATCTTTTGCAAATATCCTCTTTTGCCCAATACGGGTCGAACTTAAAGTAATCTCCATGTCGACAGTGAGAATTTGGGTTATGGATTCTGAAAGAGCTCATAACAATAGCCGTATGATCAGAGTAACATGAGACTTAAGTGGTCACAATACAATCCTTAGAAGATCGGTAATTCTAGTGGATTACAAAATGATAGAAGAGAGAAGTTTCAGTGTTACCGTTAGGTGAAATTAACAAGGATGAAAATATATTTTAATATCATTCATATATTTATTTTGTATATTTGTATTATCCACTTATTGTTTATTATTTTCAATTACGTATCTCACTTATCCATTTACATGCATCGATAATTCTATATCAATGTAAACTTGTTTAAACGGAGGTTTAAACTTAAATTGAAATATCTTTTAACTAGGGTTGCACATAATTCGGATTTCAATCCGATCCGGATCGGTTTTTATCCGATCCGGTTTTTTCCCATAGAAAAAAAACCGGTTTATAAAATAACCGGTTCGGTTTCTAACCGGTTTGGAGGGCCGGATATCCTAACCGGTGTAACCGGTTTCGGTTTTAAAAAACCGGTTTTTTTAAAAAACCGGTTATAAAAAAACCGATTTTAATATTCCAGATTGCTCATAGGGAACCGATTCCCCCCAAGGGGGGTACCGATTCCTCACTGAATGGTTTGGCTCCGAGATTTCCAGAATGCTCGGAGGGAACCGATTCCCCCATAGGGGTACCGATTCCCCCCTATTCAACGGTCGAAATATTTGAATTTTACACTTAGGGAACCGATTCCCTATGAGAGGGTACCGATTCCCCCACGCTCTAAGCATTTTTATTAAATGTTCACACTTAAACGGCTATATTATCTTCATTAATTATCACTAACGTTCAGAAGTGATTCAAGGTGTATTTAAGCAAGCTTAGAAGTCATTGATCAAAGACAAGAAACATCAAGCAACTAGAATCAAGAGAGAATCAAAGAGAAAGCATCAAACCTCAAGTTCAATAAATTCAAATACTTAATTGAAATACTTAATTAACTCAACATAATTGAAATACTTAAATACTTCCAAGTTTGATAAATTCAAATACTTAAAAACTTCCAAGTTCGATAAATTCAAATACTTAAAAACTTCAAGTTCGATAATTGAAACAAAGTTTACGATAATTGAAATAAAGTTATAAAATAAACTACATTGCCATCTCTTCTTCATCATCTTCGCCTTCTTCGTTTGGAGGGGATATTCCAAGTTCAACTTCTTCAATGTGTAAGTTTGCTTCCAAATCGGCATCAATTGCATCTTCTAGGGTGGTGATATGTTGCTTACGAGCCGCTCCATCCAAATAATCCTTTAAACAAATGCATACTTCCACCGACTCGGGACTTAATCTTGATCTCCGTTGCGATATAACCCTGCCACTAACAGAAAAAGCGGATTCCGAAGCTACCGTAGAAGCTTGGACGGTTAGTAAATCACGGGCCATGGCGGCTAGAATCGGAAATTGTGATTCCTTTTCTTTCCACCAAGCCAAAATATCCAAACTTTCAAACTCTTCAAATGTCATTTTTGATAGAAAATCGCATGACATATAATTTCCCAACTCGCTACTTGGGGTGATAGTACGTGATCGTTTGGATTGGGAATTTACAAGAGTGTTAAAAAGATTCAAATTTATGTTACTTGGACGTCTACTAGATGATTCCGCATTCATTCTCATTTGATCGTGTATTACACTACTTGATCCGTATTTATTTAAATAAATTGCAAACATGTCTCGAAAACATTTGTTAAAATAATTTATTTGGTTTTGGACAAAGTTGGGTTCATCATCGGTTAGATTAAAAGCAAACGCAATTTGTTCAATTAGTGTTTCAACCCCACCAACATTTAACGTTGGGTTTAAAGCGGCGGCACAAGTAAAAATAGGGGGAATCTCCTTAAAATATTTTAAAAGTTTTTCCTTCATTGCAAAGCCAATTTCTTGAAAAACTTCGGTTTCAAATTCAAAGTCATTTAGTCGGGTAGCCAACAAAAATATTTGATTAAGAACCAACGGCTAGTAGGGTAATAAACACCGGATAAAAAAGTTGTTGCATTTTTAAAAACCTCAAGCAAATCGGTTATTTTGGCTATAGTTTCCCAACTCGAATCCGGATAAATGTCTGGGACATGACCCCTCTCGAAAAGCCGATCGTGAAATGTTTGCAATGTTTCCCTTTGCCTTAAGGCAGTATGCATCATCATCCAAGTTGAGTTCCAACGAGTTGGACAATCCAAATTAGGACCCAAAGCTTTTTTATTAACAGACTTACAAAATCGTTTATAATCATTTAGTCTTTGTTGTTGTTACAAAGAATCGATTTTATCATTGTTTTAAATTCTAATCTAATTGGCTCAATAACCTCCAAACCGGCTTGCACGGATAAATTAATTATGTGTGCAACGCAACGGGTATGAAAAAACGCACCGTCTAAAATCGGTGAAAGTAATATTTTCAATCTTGGAATCGCGTTTGTATTATTCGATGCATTATCAAAAGATATAGAAAAAACTTTATTTTCTAATTTATAAAGACAAATTACCCGTTTTAAAAGTGTAAATAAATTAGCACCGGTATGCGGCTCACCGAATAATTCAAACGCGATTGTTCTTTTCATCATTTGCCAATTATCTTGATCTAACCAATGTGACGTAACGGCTAAAAAGAATTTCCGGTATTATGAGGGGAACTCTAAACGTCACATGTAAGCGACACACCATAACGGTGTTCTTGGAATCCTAAAATCATTTTTTCCCTCGCCGTACGCCACATTTTTATAGCATCTCTTCTAAGGGTAGTACGACTTACTTGAGTATAACGTGGTTGCATTAGTTGTTGAATTGTTGTCGTGAATCTTCATCATCAAAGTGGTCGAACGGCAATGCTTTTGTAATCACGAACTTTGTAAACGCTTCTCGTAATTTTTCGTTGTCGTAAACAAAACACCACCTTGCGGTGTAAGATTCGATTGACTAGGATCCGATCTTGAGCGAAGTGCCTTGCATGATTTTGTCAAATGGTTCTTCAACGTTGTGTTTCCTTCCGATGCAAGAAACTTTAGACAAAGTTTACAACGCGCCCTCCTCGAGCCATTTGACATCTCACATAAATCGTAGTGATCCCAAATATCTTTGTTTCGAGTGTGTTCGATCACTCTCACGACTTCAAGGTTTCCCCCGACGGAAGATTCAACAGTGTTACTCATGATGAATAAAAAATTACAAAACTAAGATTTGAGAGATGTTTAAGTGTTGTGTAATAAGATTTGAGAAAGTTGTAATCAACCAAATACATCCCCAACCTATTTATACATGTTTAGGGTGGTAAAATGGTAATTTTTTAAAGAAAAAAACGGTCAAAAACGGTCACAAACGGCTATATTAACGGCTAGTTTTTTAAACCCAGACCGGTTTTTTTTTCGGATAAAAACCGGTTTTTTAACCGGTTTTTTTCAAACCGGTTTTTTATCCGGTAAAAAAACCGGTCTAGGTTTTTTTCTCCAAACCGGTTAAAATAACCGGTTTAAAAAAATCCGATCCGGTTAAAAAAAAACCGGTTTTTTCCAAAACCGGTTTCGGATATTTTTTTCGGATATTCGGAATTTTTGTGCACCCCTACTTTTAACGTAATTGGAAACTTAATCAAAACTTTGATCAATGATGTCAAAGGTTTAAACATTAGCAGTCCTAGATCTAGTATATGTTATCATATTAAAACTTGCCACATTTCATCACGATAAACAAGTCACACGTATATAACTTAAAAGGCGACGAATAAACCAACTTTAGAGGTTACACAAAATACCAAATGAAAAATCTAAAAGGTTTTTGAGCAATTGTCCCATTGTCAAAATGGTTCGAAACTTACAATATTGAATCATGGAAAACCTAAAGTATCATCAATCATCCATCCACAGCGATTGAGAACTACAAAATGAATATTAATTATCTGTGGAGCTATTTATTGCCACCCGTTTTCCGTCACCATGGAAAAAATCAAAAGTATTATATCCCAAAAAGCATCATTGAATAGCCAAAAAATACTAATTAGGGTTTGAGTGCAAGTACCAAACCAAAACGGGGACTTTTTTCCAGGGCCTTTGTGTCCAGCTCACCAGAGATCGTCAACAATGACTTGGGTACGACTTCGTGCTGCAGCAGTGCTCCAAGCCTCCCATGATTGTTGAGCTTCGCTTTAATCAGTGTGAGATGATCAACAGCATATGCCCCTCCGACAGTAAAAGTGTTCTCATTTGTGGAAAACCTTCGGGTGATTTCACCCACAGCAGCACTCTTCTTCTGCTGGTCCAGGTAATGCACATACGAAGCTTTCATGCTGTCTCCCTTGTCCCCACTGAAAGTAAAAAAGAGACGAAATTAGGGGGGGAAATTAGAAAATTTTCACTCACTCACTTTTGAAATCTATTGGAGTAAATTTGTAAGTTCACAAAAGCTTACAGAAGTATCGAAGCACACGAATCTGGTTTTGTCACACTAATACCAGCAGTGTACTTCGTGAATTTGCCAGAGGTGGTATCATAACCTGCCTCTGCACCAAAAGCAATAGCGGGTGTCCCAATGGTTGCTGTAACATCAACACCCGGTTTCTGGTTCAAACCAATCGTTGTTGCAAAGGTAGCATGGTCATGGAAATACCGAACCTCCAACTGCAACATAGAAAGCAAATACAGAACTTTAAACATCAAAATCATTATGATAAAAATCATTTCTTCATAGGAGGGACAGTTTTATACCTTGCCAGAGTTATAATCAGGTACTTTGAATGATGCAATAGTCTTGGTGGATGGAAGAATCCCAGTGAATGTAATTGTTGTTGAAATCTGGACAAGTGATGGGAAAATGTAAGAAGCTCCGCTGGATTAGGCTACATGTTATTCAATACTTTCAAAAAAAGGAAGTGAAAATCACAGGAACCCACATTAGAGTCGGTATCGAATTTAACATCGAATTGAGTGTTCTTGTACTTGTATAATGCAGCAATATCCCCAGTTGAAAGGCCTCCTTTCTTTAGAGCAGTTGATGTAAAAGCCTGAATATAAGGGGACAAAAAGGGAATAAATTAGATGAAGATTCACTAATCACAGCAGACAACTTTTGAATCAAAACAAGGGTAACATTGAACACCAATTCAGACAAAACCAGTCCCTTCTGAAGTTAAACACAGCTTCACCCAACAATACTTTTTGAGCACATGTGTAAAATGTAAATAAATTAGAAAGTAACAAAAATCAGTGTTCGAGTAGAAAGATAAAGCTGACTCCCGAGGAATTCAAGAAAATCACCCATGGAAAAGAATAAAGAACAAGAATAACAATTTCAAATGTACGATCTACATTAATAGTTAGACCTTTTCAATTACCCAAATGCACAATTTATGTTAGCTTGAAAAATAACAATGGGATTAAACATATATAAAATTGCATAAAAGTTACGAAAGCGTTAGTTTTACACCAGTACAGGCCCCTCTCTATGTATATCAAGTCCTAGATAATCAGCATCTCATTATAAAATAAGCTATCAATCCCTAGCTACCACATAAACATTAACCAAAATCCAAGGTGCAAAACAGATGATTTTGGCTTACCACTCCAGCGCCAGTGTAACTAGAAACAGTGAACTTCTGATCCGAGGTATAGTCTTTAGTCAACAGATCTGAGCATTCAAAACATAGAGATATGAAAACAGATAAATAAAATATCGAAAGATCGCACGGCGGAGAAGGAAGGAAATGGGGGATTCGATTACCTTTGGCTTTCTTGCCGATATCGACGAAGAGTCCTGGTCCCTTACTCATGCTTGCACAAAGCCCAGGAAAGATCTAAGAAATTGAGACGAAGAAAAATGGTGAAACCGGATAGAATAGAAGGACGAAGTGCTTATTTAGTAGCGGAGACGAAAATGAAGATGCAAAACCTTTTTCAAGTGGGGGTGACTATCTGCTGTGACCGTTCTTGGAACTGGCAGTGTTTCTTGACCGTGTTAGGCTGGATATGAACAGAAACTCATCTAACCAATGAAACAAAAAAGTTTAATTCATGATTTAGCCCCTAAAGTATAATTATTTTCTAAATCTGCATCTTAAAATATTTTGTCTCAATTTGCACCATAAACTACCATTTCCATACCACTTTACCCCCAAATTATAGGTGTCTCGCACGAACCAAGTGACCTTGGTGATAAATGAATTGTTGTTATTTTTTGAAGTCTTAGTTTTGAGCATTATAAACGTCAAGGGTGTTGTCGGAACCGTCTTTCGGTTGTGCCCCGGAATTGGGCTTCGACTTGGATTAAATGAATTGGAGTCGCCACCGACCACTTTAAAACGAATTTAGGTGGGCCGGATACCATCTTACCTGATCTGCGTCGTACCAGAAACGTGTCGGGTTCGGGAGTCGGTTACGGTCAAGGAAGGATTAGCACCCTTGAACCGCCCTTTCGGTACCAATTAATTTGTCGGTTGTCTTTAATTGCGAAAATTAGAATTTAAATTAAAATTAAATTCATTCGATCCGAATTACTTACCATTTGATCGGCTGAAATCATGACTGAAACAAAATACGTTAGATAAAAGCGAAAACAAAATGCTAATAAATAAAAAATATAAAAATAATAATAATAATGAAAGAAAGAAATAATAAATAATAATAAAGGTTAAATTTAAAAAAATATTTAAAAAGTAAAATAAAAAATAAAGATAAAATTTAGGATCAAATTGGAACAAATTGAGCTTAATGAATTAGAAAATGAACTGCAAAAGAACAAATAAAAGTTAGGGGACCAATTCACAGAATATAAAAAAATATAAATAGGGACCAAATTGATTAAATTGCAAATTCGGGGTCAAAATTACAAATAGTGACCAAAATGAAAACCGATCCAAAATACCAGGGACTGCGGAGAGGATTTAAAAATCTTCTATTTGCAGATCAATCCTTCGTAAAACGACGCCGTTTTGAATTTCGTATTTAAAGCCGAAAATAGGGTTCTTTTTCTTCATTTCTCTCATTTGGTCTCTCTGCGCTCTCTCTCGTCTCTCAAACTCTCTCAAATGGGAGATATCAGGCCACAGCTCCGGTGGTCTCCCCGTCGCACCGGCCACCATGCCGGCCACCGCCGGCGGTGGCCGAAAAAAACCATTTAGCCCGAAACACTCGCCCTGTCACTCTAAACCCCGATCCGAAGCCTGTTTCCCCTAAAGGGACCCCAAACGGCGTAGATCTACGCCTAAAGTTCGGGTTTTTTTTTTTTACCTTAAAACCTACGCCTTCTGGTTTTCCGATAGCTTCTCCGAGGCCTTTGGTTGGTACTTCGGCTTTGTGTATTTGGTTGTGTTCGACCTTTGTTGTTGGTCGATTTGATGGTGTCGTTTGTGTGATGGCTGTTGTGTGTATGACTTGGGTTTGGTTGGTTTTGTGTTTGGTTATTTTGGGTTGTTTTCAGGTTTTTTATGTGCTGTTGACTCGATGGAGTCTTGTTTTGTTACTATGCTTGTTGGTTCTCTCGTGAGTTCAGTGATGGTTGATGTTTTTGACCGTGCTGGTCATGTGGTTTGATGATTCTGGTTTTCTGTGGATGATCTGTTGTGGTACCGATGATCCTCTCCCCCCCTGTGACAGGCTTGGTGGGGGTATTTATACCCCCCATCGGAGGCCTGTCGGTTCCGAAATAAGGGTGCTCGTGGCCGTTGTGGCCGGTCACCCCGGGATGGGTCAGTCCCGGGGATTTCGGCCGGTTGTTGGCACTGTTGACCGTTCATCTCCCCGGTTTTGCGGCGCCGTTGAAACTGATATCATTCAGGGTTTCCAAACCCTAAACTTACCATACTGGATCAGGCCCATCTGTGTTTGGACTCTGACCGTGACTTGTTGGATTGGACAGTTGACCCATTTGGACCTGACATGGGAAAAAATAAAATAAAATAAGTGATAAAAATAATAATAAATAATGATAATAATAATAATATATATATAAACGTTTCCAAAAACATATAATATATAAATTTTTTAAAATGTTTTTAAAAAACTATATATTATATATATTTTCAAAATGATTTTTAAAAATTATATATTATATAAATGTTTTTATAATGTTTTCAAAAGTATCTATTATATATATTTTAAAAACGTTTTCAAAAACTATGTATTATATAATTTTCAAAAAATATATTTTCAAAATGGTTTTTAAAAAATTATATATTATATAAATGTTTTCATAACGTTTTCAAAAGTATACATTATATATATTTTAAAAACGTTTTCAAAAACTATATTATATAATTTTCAAAAATATTTTAAAAACTATAATATACATATTTTCAAAAAATGTTTTAAACTATATATTATATATGTATTTTCAAAAACAATTTGCAAACTATATAATATATATGTGTATATATGTATAAAATAAAAAAAAATGGACGGAAATTAGTGTCTACAGCTGCCCCTCTTTGTCCTTTTTCGTGGAACGAAAAATAGGACAAAGATAAAAAGACACAATTTTTCGTTCAGTGGGGTTGAAGAAAAAACCCCCTGTCGGATTGAGCTGCGGATGACCCCTCCGTCGTGAAGTCAAGTCAATCTTGAAATGATATGGAATTGAATCGGAATGCGACTTCTTGTTGCCCAATTGTAGTCAACCTCGGTATTTTCCTCAGTTTAAGGACCTTGGTTAAAAATTGACTGGAAAGTAGTTATTTGATTCCACCATGCCCTTGAGCTGAACGAAAACGAACTCGAAAGGTCTTCACTGACATATAGTTTTTCTCGACTTAAACTATGCTGCTGGAAAACGATTGACTGTCACTAAGTCACGGCTGACCCATGTCTTCTTCTCGATTTGAAAACCTTGATTGCAGCCGAACAGTAGTGTGATTGAGGTATCGTCGAGCTGAATAGAGTCGAACTCGACAATTTTATTGACAAATAACCTTTCTTGCCATGAGTTATGTTGTAAATGATATGACCTCGAAGTTGAGTGTAATCGAACTCGTGAGTCTTTGGCAGATAACCCTTCTTGACTTAAGCTATGCTGCAATTGATGTGCCTTGGAGCTGAGCGGAGTCGAACTCGAAGGTCTTTTGGTCACAGATAACCCTTCTAGCCTTGAGTTATGCTGTAAATGATGTGCCGTTGAGCTGAGCGTAGTCGAACTCAAAAGGTCTTTGTTGGCAAACAACCCTTCTAGACTTAAGTTGTATTGCAAATGATATGCCTTGGAGCTGAGCGTAGTCGAACTCGAAGGTCTTTGGTTGGCAGATAACCCTTCTCGACTTAAGTTATGCTGCAAATGATGTGCCCTCGAAGCTGAGTGTAATCGAACTTTGGGGGTCTTTGGCAGATAGCCCTTCTCGACTTAAGCTATGCTGCAAATGATGTGCCTTGGAGCTGAGCGTAGTCGAACTCGAAGGTCTTTGGTTGGCAGATAACCCTTCTCGACTTAAGTTATGCTGCAAATGATGTGCCCTCGAAGCTGAGCATAGTCGAACTCGAAGGTCTTGGTGGGCAGATAGCCCTTATGGCCTTGAGCTAAGCTGCAAATAGTTTGTTTAAAAATGGCTTCCCTTTACGGGTCGAAAACGGTCATGATTCTTCAAGTGGTTCCCCTAAGCTGGTCTGGGAAAACCTACTGATAAATTCTGACAGCCGGATATCTTCCGTCGTGGAATTGAAATCTGGCTTGAAAGTGTTAACTGGAAACATGTTGCTCATTGTTGAGTTGAGCTGAACTGAATTTGATCTGAATTGGTTCTCGAACCCATCTGAAATTGGTTCTGAGATCCGTAGATATGTTAAGTCGGTTGAGGTGTAGCTTCTTGCTGCTGAGTTACACCATCGTTCTTTAAAGGTGCTTGCAAGTCGAGTAGCCTTCATCCTGAAGTCGAAGCTTGACTCTGAAAGCTGCAAAATTATGCATGCTAAAATGATGGATGTGATGCACCTAAGTATGTCTAAGATGCATGCAACATGAATAAATTATGTGTTATTTCTTGGATGGAGTCTCGTGCTTTGTCTGTCAATCAGGTCCATGGAATCGATCGTGCCCCATTTGCTTCTCGAGCTTGGGCTTTACAGACATTTCATATCTGAGATTATTCCGTTTGAAAACGTTTTTCTCCTTTTTCTTGTTTCAGGAGAGAGAAATGATAAAAATGTTGTAAAGTATTGTTCGTACTTGAATCAAATTGCAAATGTGAGTTCAAAAAATATCAAAGGAATCAAGAGCTCTTTTAATGCTTTCAGAGTTACAAATCTTTGACAAATGTTCAAAGGGACGAGTCGGCTTTAGGTTGGCCTCCTTTCTAAGGTTTTTTTTTGGTAAAACATGTCATTCTTTTTTAAATATCGCAACATGCTTTGGCACTTTAATTGGGTGCGGACAAAATGACGCAGCTAGCATGATCCATTACTAGACCTTTTATCTCAGTCCTCTGAAATCTTTCATTTGTTTAAGCTTTGTAGGCTCTTCCAATATAGGCAGCGCGAAAAATATCGGTCTAAAAATGAAATTCTAGAGTGCTTGTGTGTAGTCAACTATAACAGGTGTTCCTTAACTCCCTTAGTCCATTTTACCGAAAATATCTTGCTTAGATAAATTTGATTTAATTTGGCATTATCTGACTAGCTGAATCCATAAAGCCGGGGCGTTTAACCAATTGCTTTAGAGGGACAACTTAATATTATAATCACAGTTATCAAGTTAACTGAAAGGTTCATCTCATCACGGAGTCTTCAGCCTGACAAGAGCAGTGGAGCAAACACCGAATTGCCAAGTGTCCGAGCAATGTCATGGTTTGAACGTAATCTACTCATAAGGCCAGGGCTTTCAAGTTTCCTCTATAACCAATTGCCTTAGCGGAATAGCTCAGTTTTTACGGATTTAATTTCCTAAGATTGTCAAGAAG